CCGCTTCGCTAAATGAAGAGTATTCAGATCTGAACCTCTGTATTTTTGCTTGGAGGGGGAAACATATACCCATGATGCCCTGTCAGAAGTAAAAAAAGTTCCCATTTGCTCTGCTGAATGACGGATAATTTCCGTCCTTAAAAGAAAATGAAGAAGCAGTAATTTGCAACGTCTCTTTTAAGTTCCTGTTGTAGTGGACGCTGGTTTTCTTCCCTGAATAGAATGGAGAATAATGACAGATTCCCGTAAGGGATTCTCCATGTGCTGTGGGATTGCTCTTCCCCTCACCTTTCTCATTTTCATTTATTTTCTAGCAGAAAAAGAGGCTGCTCTTTCTTTTCAGGTCTTCCTTCCGAGGTTAATATGGGGCTAAAACTATTTGGCACGTGAATAATGGAGTGCCTAGGAAGCGAGAGATGCCTTTCCTGAGATGTTACGTGCCCGTTCTAAAACCAGAAGGAGTAGAGCTTTCCTCCAACTTCGGTGACACGAGAGGAGCGCAGGGCAAAATGCCTTTGCATAATTGTGATGTTAGAACTTCGTTCTGCGGGAAGCTGTGGGCTTCTTTCTCCAGAAGCCATTTCCCTTCTAAATTTCATGCCTATTCCTGGTTCAACACTTTGCTTTTGGAAAACAGTCTTTTATCTTCATTGATTTTTTTTAAAAAAAAAAAAAACAAACAACAAAAAACCCCACCAAAAAAACCAACAATAAAAGGAACAGGCTTTCTTCCAGACCTGAGAGCAAACCCTTTTGAATACCTCAGGGGCCATAATTGAATTTAACTCAATAGGAAACGGGGTCAAATGCGGTGTTGTCCTCGGTGCTTCCAGGTGATACTGGCCTGGAAAAGCCTCGGATAAAAGGTCTTTGGTTGCATGGAGCTGCTTAGTTTACCTTGCTTTATAGGACCCCAGCTCTCTGCCGGTGGGGAAGAGAATTTATCGATTCTCTGAGGCTTTGTCTTTCTCTTGGACGAGGGTGGAGGAATTAGTACAGGCGGGTTTGGAGGTGGGAACTATGTAGGATGCTGTAGAAGATGCTCGTTCTTCTGCAAACGGGTGGCTGAGTAAGTGCAGTGCGTTCATCCGAAAGTGCCTCATGGGGGCCGGCTGGTAAGAGTTTGTGAATTTGGAGTATGCGGTCTATGGGTTTACACGCAAGCCCGGGAAGCACCAAGTATGTTTAATTTGCCCCAGCGCAGGGTGGGGGGGTGTAAGCTGGTTCAGGGAGGGGTGGGCAGAAAGCCTGAAAATCCACTGTGAGATGTATAGCAGCAGGTACTCGGGGAGAAAAGACATGGGTGTGCGTACTTTGGTAATTCCTGTGTGCAGAAATTGAGTGTGCAAGTTTGCAGGACATGTGCATGTGCAGGCCCACGTGCTTCTGAGTGGTTAGAGGTGCGTGGAGGAAATGAAGAACTCTACCCATGCCCTTCACGGTGTAAGGAACCTACATTTTGGTGTCCCTGGTTCTGCTGGCTCCTCATGCGTTCGTCCCCTGGATCGGCTTGAAAGCCTCTGGTTAGGAACATTAAGGTATCTTGCTTTATTCTTCGGGACATGCAATGCTTATTTTGTGATGAGTTACCCTGACCACGTCCCCAAGGGGATGATATCACCACAGAAATGGTGATTTTTTTTTTCCTTCTACTGGGAGTGGTAAAGAGCAGAGGAATTCAGGCCGCTGCTGTCTGCGGTTCTTTGTCCGACAGATTCACATCCGTGTTCCGCTGTGCTGTGTGTGCGTCTGAGCCTGCTGGTGGAGGAGCTGGGGGTGGCTGGGTGTGGTTAAAAGGATGTTTCAAGACAGTAGGCGTTAGCAGAGAAATAAATTGACGAAGGAAGGGTCCAGCATCGGGAACAAGAAAAGGAAATGAGCCTTTGCGGGACTTGAAACTTCTTGGCACAATGTGAACTGAAAGCCCGATAAGGTTTTATAACACATTTGGAGGTTACGCTGTAGAAACTGGGGAGGTGAAGTAGCAGATCTGCTCCGAAGCTGCTTTGAATGACTCCGAACTCTCAAAAATATTTCTTGAGTCAAAAGAGTGGAAGGAAATTCACTGTGATTATTCCCTGAAGTGAGTGTGCGTGCTAATACGAAGTGTTAGTTTCCTTTTTAAAGTTAGGTGACAGCTACTACTGGAGGTACAGGGTGCTTTGTTAGCTCCTCGGAGGTGAGTTGCCTGGGCGGGCTGAGGAAGAGGATGGAGTTGCCCAAGGGAACGTGGAAGTCTCTCCGACACTGAGTATCCTGGACTGCCCTTCTCTGAGCTACCCGAGCTAATGATTCTCTTAAAACATTGCAATGTTGCGTGGTGGACAAGTCAACGTCCTTTACATCCCTGGTTGCTGTTGTATTTATCTGATGAAAAAATGGTTTTCCAGCTGCTCTGCTCACCTTTCTTTTCCAGTTAACTCTTTTAATTTGTTACAAAGACAAAAAGACTTGAAGGCGGTATAACAGATGGGGTTTTAACTGAACGGAGGCCAGCAAGAGGCAGAAAGCTCTCGTCTTGCTTCCCACTTCAGTGTGCTCGTAGGGGATAAGGCCTTCCATTCCTGTGATCTCAGCGCGTTTTGGAAAATGCCGTCGTTAAACTGGAAGGGAAGCAATCGCCTCGGTTCCTGTTGCCGTAGCTGCAGGTCTCTTGCATTTCGTGTCAGTGCACATTGTGGCTGTGGAATGGAATCCTTTTGAGTGCGAAAGCACCAAAGGGTGTGGTTAAAGCAATCGGGAACCTTTTCACTTCAAATCACCTCATTTATGACATGAAGATCTCAATGTTAACAGATTTGTTTTGCAAACCATTCGACTGGAAGTTACCTGGTGTTATGCCAAAACACTCCCTCTTGACTAGCATGTGAAAATACAGCTCTTGAGTCTCTGGTTTAGACCCAAAGGGCTAAATGCTCCCAAAGAAGTCAAACTTTCAGTTCTTTCAGCAGGCACCGTTTCAGCAATACGCTTCATTTATGTTCAAGTTACTCCCTGGTAACAGATGATAGGACGAGGGGGAATGGTTTGAAGCTGCGCCAGGGCAGGTTTAGGTTAGATATTAGGAAAAACTTCTTCACTGAAAGGGTTGTCAGGCTCTGGAATGGGCTGCCCAGGGAGGTGGTAGAGTCCCCATCCTTGGAGGTATTTAAAAGAAGGATAGATGAGGTGCTTAGGGCCATGGTTTAGTGGTGGGATGGCAGGGCTAGGTTAAAGGTTGGACTCAATGATCTCAAAGGTCTTTTCCAACCAAAGCGATTCTATGATTCTATTCTATGAAGCCTTTTGGGCGGGGGGTGTGAGCAAACCCCCTTCTCTCTTCCCGTTCTGTTCGGGACTATTTTCATAATTCGAGTATGTCTGAGCTTGCAGCTTCTGTGGTTGGCAGTACCAGCTGCAGATTGGTGGTCTTGCCTTCACGTCTGGAGGCGCAAGCCTTTCTCTGCAGAGAAGGGAGCAGTGCCGGAGGGTGGGATACTGGAACTCCTGGTTGTCCAAGCCTGGAGAAGCAGGAGATCCTGTTTCCCGAAAATGCGTCTGTTTGTTTCCTTCTACTTCAGATGAATATGCTGGAGTTTGCTCAACTGCCTGACACCTGACCGCTGCCTCTGTGCAGGAGTTTTCCAGGAGTTTGCGTTTCATCACGGAGTTTTTGTTCAAACTCTAGATTTTTGAAGAGAAAAAGTGACGGATGCCAATTAGGAGAGAGGAAAAGGGAGGAAGATACGATTATCCAAGACTCAGTGGCCCTCAGGGCTGTGTGCCACTGCTCCTTTTTTGTGGGGAGCAGGAGTAGAAGAGATGAGAAAAGTGTTATCTTGATCTTTTCTTCAAATGTTCCTGCTGCAGAGGAGCAAGGCTACCAAGACTTCATTAAATATTTCTGCTGTTGGAAAAGGAGATGAGGTTGGAAGCAGTTGTGGCTCTTGCGTTCCTATGGGAACAGATAGGAGATGCAAGGGCTTGAGTTCTCAACTGTAAGGGGATTTGTCAAGAAAGGTGGGAAAAGGATTTGATTTCTGATTTGAGTGGGAAACCAATATTCGTTCTCTCCTTGATTGGCTCCTGACTGCACGTTTTTTCTCTGCTGACGAGGAGACAGCATTTTGTGCAGTGTCTTCAGGGCTGCTTTACCGCTCCATGGCCACAGAGTTAATTACAAGTTGGACAACGAGATGCATGAGTCCACCCTGCTGCTGTTTTACCGACTCAGCAGTTCAGTGCTCTTTCCGTACGGAGAGGGGCAGCAGAAAGACCGCACATGTCCGCTGGATGAGAATGCAAACACAGCTCTGTTCCACATAGCAGCGGCGCTTGTGGAGCAGGGTTAGTAACCCGCTCGGAATGAGTGCTCCAGACTAAACTATTTCTGAAACCGCTC